CGGAGTTCGCGTGGCACGCGGCGTTCATGCCAATGGTACACCGCTGTGAACATTCAACAAATTAGCGATCCGCATTGGCTTTTCCACTGTTCTTTTGCTACATTTCCCATGGTTGCCACGACTTCGCACGTGTGAGTGACCACTGAATTCGCTAGTAGTGATAAAATCACCTGTGTCACCTGTGCTCCCGTTGATCATCGAGTTCCTCGAGCGGGCGCCAGTAACGTCTCCATTCGTCCCTGCAACGTGCAAGAGTTGCCCAATGAACTCTCTCTCGAGGGACACGATGAACTTCATACCATTCGTTCAGAGCTTTCACGAAGAAGTCTGACCATCGCAGCGGGCGATGCCTCCTCGTCTCGGTCAGTCCGATGACGTCGTACTTGATCTTCCTGGCTTGCAACATCAGATCTTCGATGTGAGCTTCCGATGCAAGCGTCCGTGCGTTGAAAGTACAGATCGTCATCCTAGTCCTGGGCGACTTAAATCTCCGTTGGCCCTGTGATTCTTGCAGCCTCGCCCGAGCGGTCCCAGCCGACGTCGCCCTGTCGGTGGTTCCCTCAGGTTCAGGGGAATGAGGCCCATAATTGTTACTGTTTTCGGCGAGAAGAAATTTAACCACGCGTAGCTCGCCAGGCTCTGACGTGGCACCCTCCGCATTGGTACGTTTTTGGAACAGTCCAAAACCGTTCACCCCCACGCCACGATGAGGCTGCGGATAGGATTTGTGGGGGTAGTAATAAAATAAGAATTAGGAAGAGTTAAAGGTGGAATAGTGGCTGGTGCCCCTGTTGGAGCAGATGTGGCCCAGAAATCAAGAGGCCTAGATGGAGTAACCAAATGTTCCTTTCTCCAAAGTTGGTCATTTGAAGCCAGATTCGCCCGATCCGAACATTTACTTAGACAGTGCGTGACCTCAAGAATCGTCGAATGGACCAACACCCTTTTTCAGTGGCACCTGTAAAATGATAATCCATATGGCTCAGAAACGGTGTTGGTAAGGTGTAGCATGCAGCAGCCCGCCCATCTGCGCCCTTTATCTGGAACCTACCTATAGCGTAACGTTTAGAGCGTGCCAAATGATCAGCGCAGCTGCAGTCTGGTCCCGAAGCATGCTCCGCCCCCGATTTAACGTTGGAAGTATTGATGTCCTGTTCATACCCACTGGAACCTACTAATATCGGCTGTAAGGCCCCAACAAGTTACGAAATTTTGTCTAACAAAGCCTCTTTCTTTCATTTTTCACTAAGATTGAGACTTGGCATAGAAATTACTGATAAAAATGCTGTCTGAATGTTACAGTTATAATCCCTGCAAAGACGGGGTGTGTGACGCGGTGTGGATTGGAGCGCAGGCAGAGCCGTCGTGCTCGGGCTGCGCTCCAAGTCACGCCCCCATCACTTGCAAGGGTCGTGACTGCATAACGGACGCGTTACCCGGTTATTGACCGATTTTAACTATTTGGAGCAGTTCTCACTTGCTAGATTCCTCGATCAATGCCACAGCGATGGATATTCGTTTACGAACGAATAGAATAATAAGAAGCAATATGAGTAGAGCGATGCTAACTATGACAGCTGAAAAACGATTTAAAAGTACACCTTTGCTACCAGAATCAACTGATCAGAACTAACCAACAACAAGCCATGTAGTAGGCATTTCAAAATAAACGCTAAATATCGGCTGAAAGGAGTAGTCATCAATGGCTCCAGCTCTTACCAGATTTGTCCATTTATACCAGCTGTATCCACAACCTGAAGCACGAGTTTACAAGTAACTCCGGTACGAAGATCGGGGTCATATTTACCTGCTCCAAGTAGCCCGATGATGCAAAGAATTGATGTCCAAATCATGAAACCACCAAGGACTCGCAATACTACTGTCCAAAGAAAAGCGAACACACCGGCAGCCAAGATCAGAGTGAGAATCTGAAAGTTTATTTCATCGCAGCGTTACTGTATTTCAGGAGGAGGCACATGACTGCCCAATCCGTTTTTTTGCGTCAGCTGACCGGATGCCCTCCTCCGGCTAGGTGACTGATTTCCCAGTTCACGCTACTAATCCGGTAGCATAGCGTTTCGCGGGAAGGTGGACGTTTTAGGCGGAGTGTCGAGGCGAAGTCATAAGTCAAAAGGGAGGCGTACTGGAGCAACATGCTGGAAAAACATGCGGAAGGAGTGCGGTCTGCGAAGGGTATGTGGCAAGAGAATCGTAATTCGCCGCGCCAGTGGGCGTCGCGTGCGACGCTAATGACGACGATTTTAGGTGGTATTGGTCGAGAATAGACAATGTATGACCAAAAATAGACATAAGTGTCTACCATGTCCTTGTCTACATGAAATCCGATGCTCCAATTGAAAGGGAGTGCGAATTAAGATAGCGTCCGCCCATCCGCGCGCAACGAAGCGACAATTTACGATTATCTTGCCCGTCTCCCGTCCGCGAAAGAATTCCGCCTTAGCGTCCGCATACTGCAACTTTCTGCCGCAAAACGATACGTGGTTGTCGATTGCGGACCACTTTACCTTCCCTACGCGATCTTTCGCATTTCCTATGAGTCACAAAGGACAGTGTACGGCTACGTTCATACTTCGCGACCCGAGTGATTCCATCACGCGGCTCTCAAATTCCGCGTTTATGACCAACCACGACTCACCTCTAATCGCATGGCGACTCCGATTCCCTAAAACCATGAAAATTGTACTTCTTGCAGGCCACTCGTAGCGGTCCAGTGGCTAGCGGAGGAGCGCACTTGGCCACTGCCGCGCGACAGAATCTCTAGAGATGAAGAGTGTGAACCAAAAGTGCGCAGACGACCGGAATGGCAGGCCCCATATCGTGCGCAGAGAAGTGGACGTGTTTTACCACGGCAGAGGCTCTTCCTCCCCTCCCTCTTCCCTTGATCAGCGCCTCTAGCTTTCTTTATGACCAAATGCATAGCTATGACTAGAGGGTGGAAGCGTAGGGAGACAAGGCAAAGAGACTGAGCAGTACCGTTCCTTTCTGAGATTTTGACCCTAAACGAATGGAATATATACCTGCCACCAAGATTTAGAGAGATCATGTACGATTTTAGTAATAACACCTTCGGAGTTGACGACTTCTCCGATGTATCTGAAAATGTGAATGGACTCAGTTAGAGGTACGTTACTGACATTTGTGGGAAGCCACACCGCTTCACGTACTTTTGACTGTCGTTCACCAGTTTGTCAGGTGGTATGGTACCGTCATCTCCGAACATGTTCTTCAGAGCGTCGAGTGATGCATTCCCATTAGAAAGGTTATTTATAAGATCTCCGGCTCCAACGACGATTTCTGGCACGCATCGTCCAAGCACTTAAACGTCAACATTACCAAATTCATCATAAAGTATTCTTAAACACATGTTATGGAACGAGGAAAAGCAAAGAAAATTAAGCAATTGAAAAATAAAGATGTAAAGAAAAACACTACACTTTTCGTAAAGTTTTGTTCGGATTATATCTTTTTGACATGACTGAAGCGAGCTGACGAAGGGGCACGTAGTCACAAAACGAATGAGGGCGCGGAAAAAGCGTCACAGTAAGTGATAGGTGGGCGGTCACACTGGTAGGCGGGGACTTACAGGCACCCCATACAGTGCATATCTCGAAAATAGGGGTTGGGCCGTGACTGCGTACTTCGCTTGAACATGGTGGCACTTGCGCGTCTGGTCTATACTGCTTTCTTGTGGGATATATCCATTCGAGGTTATTCCCATCCTGCCTTTAGCTGGACGGAGACCATTTCACTCTTCAATCAGCAACACCCCTTCAAAAGTGCAAAGGCCACCATTATCTTCACGCAGCCACGCCTAGTCCATCTCCGAGATATGAAGCGTAGCTGTGGCGCCCTTTTGCCACGAACATCCATCCTGCGAAAGCAGTCTATCCTAACCGCTGAGGACGTGCGCACTTTTTATGGTGGACCGATTTCACCCTATCAGGTACACACGTGACAAAGTAGGTCACCTGTCTCTGGCATTTCGTCATACAATTATTAGCAATTAACAAGTAATTAATAACTCAGGGCGAAAATACAAGGAAAAGTGACGGCAATTTTATAAGCAGTAGGAAGTCATCAAGACCAGAAGTCAATTTATTATAGAAAAATTTATTGTAAAAATTTTTTGGATGATTACTAACCTGGAGCTGACTTTACCGTGTATGATGCACATTTCTGTTGTTGTATGTAATTTCGTAAAACAGTAAAGGAAGTGATTGTGTTCTTGTCCACGTCATCAAGACAATAAAGTGTCGACATTACCTTTAGAAAACAACGAGTAAAAGTTTAAAAAGTAAGAACAAAATTGCTTTGAAAATTAAACTTACTGTGTTACGAAAATCCGTCGCTGATACGGTAGGACTTTGCAGTTGTAGGTACGAAAAATACCTGGACGGACAACGGGCCACGCACATCTACGAAAAACATTTCTTCACTCCAAAAAAGGAACAAAGAATCCCATTCATATTTTTTTTGGAAAAAATGAAATGTGTGGATTAATGGCACGTACCTGAGGTGTTTGACAGCCGCCCAGAGCTGTGGAATAGGATATACATTTTGTTATATCGAAGTAGTACAAATATGGCCGAGTTCTAAACAAAAGCTTCAAAATAAAGCGAACGATTCGAAGGGTCAATGAAATAGCAACTAATGAAGAAATAGCATGTTCTTCCCATGTTCTAGCTGATGGTCCCTGAGCAGGGAAGCGCGTACGCGACGCGCTCCCACCAGCGTTTTGCAGCCTTCGTGATGTACGTATCATAGGTATCACTATAAGGTTGTGTAGTTCAAGCACTGTGAAAACTTCACTGCCCCACTCTTCCAAATTGCAGCATAATTTGAACAGAATTTCTCCCCGTGGGTAATACCCTGGGCTAGTTTGACCCTGTCGGCGCGGATATTACGTCCGCTTAGATCAAAACCGCCTTGCGCCTGCGTCACAATCGCTTGCGCCAAAACACTTTATCACAAACTGTCCGTTAAAAAAACGTTCTGAGAGATGTCTGACCTCCGTAATCAGGGCAACTCACTGGCTCAGCGTGAAGAGTCCTGGTGAGTGTGCTTTGAGCGCCGAAGTCAAAAGTGCGGTATTACAACTGCAAACGGAGAAGCGCGGAGGGGGTGTGAGAAGGCGTGGACTGGAGCACAGCCAGCCTTTTCCACCAATTGACGCCATCACGAGTCCGCAATAGGCGGAGAAAAAAAGCTCTCCTGGCTGCGCGTTTGCCGCAAATCGCTGTGATGTTCGTGTTATCAGGACCAAAGTACTCCAAGGTATAAGTTTCACATAGATCTTAGTTTCAGCCAGATCAAAAAACAGCAAAGAAAACCACTGAAACGCCCTAATTATAGCTTGGTTAATATTCAACTTTGAACGAGCATCGGTGAGACGGAGACGCAGAGGCAATAAACCAGAGACCATAGAAATACAGATGAGAGCTATACATGCACACAACCAGGGCACGAAAACCGATAGGAGCGCCGAGTACTACTCGCACGTTCGTGGGCGTTTACATCCCATGTGGGCGGGGATTTAGTTCATCGCGGTTGCGCCACGTTTCTCCGTGTGATGAAAGTGGTCCATCATCCGCTCCGCTTCAGCAGAAAATGCAGCTCGCCGCATCACACAGCAGATTTGTTTTTCAGATGAACTCTAAACTCACGTGAAATTGTAGGAATTCTCTCGATACCCCCCGCAGCGCCGTCCAAACGAGTCTGTGGGTAGTATTAGCCGCTCTCCATCTCCCCAAAGAAAGCCTAAATAAACAAATACGCAGCAATGTCATTGTTTTGAAGGTGTGCTAGTAACTTGTGAAACCCGATTTACGTGCAGAAAATGATCGCATTCACCGGTCCTAATACTAGTACTTACCGATTGCTGCGACGACTCCCCATCCAGTAGTGAAAACGAGAAAGAGAAAGCAGCACACCACATCTGTACATCCTCTAAAAAAAGAATTGTTGTTGCCTCTAAAAAATGAAATATCGATCGTAAGCCCGTCAAAGTGAAAACTGCGCACCTTTGTGTGTGCAGTTGCGGATTGAGTTTCTTTCTTTGTTTACCGGGTTTCACGACAAATCGTGAAATTTGTTCGGACGGTGGTTTTTCGCTCCTCTATCACGTCGTATTTGAGCTCAGCAACTGCTGGACTCGTTTTGTTGCGTGATGGTGGTGGGACCTTAGGAGGAGGAGGATTCCATTCAGGTTGTCGAGGACTCCAACTAGGCGGTGGTAGTGGTTGGGAGGACGAAGGTGGTTGCCATGCAGGCCTCGGTGAAGTAGATGAGGCTATTGGCCATCTGGGTGGTGGACTGCTTGGCAGCGGTGGAGGCAGGTAATAGGCTTCTTGAGGTGGAGCAGTCGGCACGACTCCTTGTCGCTTCATCGAAACATCTGAAGAGCGGGCACGAACGAGTCAACAGCTAATTGAATGGCGAAAAGAACGACGACAAGGACGACGACCAGGTTTTTCAAAGGACAAACACACGGTAATGGCTACACCAACGTACTGTTCCCCTTTTCTTCTTTGCCAGCAATTCATATGATTTATGACTAATTCGGCGCAACCCTTCAGACTACATTTTTTATAAAAAAAGCACTTTAATTTCTTGTTCATTGGAAACAGCCACAAGCAGTAGTGAGGACCGTGAACTAGTGAAGAAAAGTGTAAGTAAGAGAAGTAGGAATGGCCTAAGACCTCAAATGGTGAGGTATGAGGTTAAGAAATGATCATTATGGTGACCCAGAAAGGTTGGCGTGGCTGGCCGACTGAAACAGAATGTTTGACGGTGGATGACCTCCAGTCGCACTGATATTTAAAACTAGTAGAGCGGCACATAAAGAGAATAGGAATGAGGACAACGGACGACGAGGTGACCAGGGTCATACAACTGCACTTCGGCCAAAAGTAGCAGTAGTAAAGATGTAACTGTCATCAAATTGCTGAGAATTTCTTCATTACAATGCGTACTATTTTCAGTTACTCCGGATAGGCATAAAAAACGACGATTTAGCTATCACTGACAGAAAGCGATAGCGCTATTCGTTCTGGTTCTGGTACCGTAAAGGACAACTTACGATGGTGTTAAATACTGTAATGGACATTGGACTGAAAAGTGAAATTGATTGAAAATTCGACCTTTTTTCAAATACCTGTTAGGTTCAACGGAATATATACAGGGGGCCAAAAAAAGTCATTTTGCCTCCATGACTTTCAAGGCGCTATAAGTTACACTTTATTGAGCACATTAAATACTATAATGATACTCCGCCACAGCCTTCTGGAGGAGCGCCATCGAGAGATTCGGCCGCGCGAAAGTGAGTGGGTACCGGAGTTGAGCGAGATCGTTGATTTCTCCGCCACTGTAGACCACCCTGTTGAGCTCCGCCCGAACCGAGTAATTGAGGGGGTTTAGTTCAGGACCCCCGCTTAAATACTCCATCTTTTCCAGGTACTCAACGTTCTTCCATTCCAAGTAGGCGAAAGTTTTTCCAACGCCCTTCGATTAAATGTGTTGTCACCCAATCCTGTAGCAGTACAAAGTTTCCAAGAAGGTACGGGCGACGACATGAAGATGGGATATTCTCCTCGAGTTGCTCGATGTAGCCACCAGCGCACACCCTCAGTCTGGGGCCCACGAAGAAAATATCGGTTCATCCATTCCAGGTACGGCCGGTCCACACCATCAACCCGCGCCTTGGTGAATGGGGTGAAGATGATGTCCTGGACCGTAGCGACGTTGCCGGAGCTGCTCGATGGTCTTGCAGATCAAGAGTACTGGTCTCCAGGTAGCTATCCATGGGTGATTCCATTCAAGAAGTTCCGCAGCTGTTTGGAGGCCACGTGAATTCCAAAGGCGTTCTCCACTCAGGCCGCGACTGGAGATGACTTCATATTTTGGTGTACATGAAGGTGAATGGCGGCAGCCGGCTCCTGCTTATAGAGGAAGATCTTGGGTATCTTCCGCCCTGGTACTCATATCCACTTCCTCTGTCTGGGCTGCGAAAACTTCGCTCATATGTGACTCGGCCGGAATGACTTTTTTTTGCCCCCCCCCCTGTAGACTATAGGAAAGAGTGTTAGTCCACATTACCATGATGAACGGGGCCTAGCCACGAAAATACCTTTTATCGCGCTGCGCTTCTAGAGAGTAACCGGCTGAGGTAGAGCAGTGAAAGTTCCTCGAGCTTCTGTTGTACCGGCTGCACTCTCGTATGCGCATGCCGTCTGGGTCTGCCTGACCCAACTATCTGCCGTAGTGCACAAATAAGTCCGTGGACACTCCCCTTGCGACGCCATGATATGGGCTGTAGATGAGACAATCTTCTTCAATGTTGTACCAAGTAACCAAATTAAGCAGCTGGCAAGTCACTGATGAGTTCAAGGAAACTTGCGGATCGATGGATGGAGTTACTGGTTGAATTACAAATGAAAATAAAGCACTTGGCTTTGATAAATGCTTTGTGAGATGCGGCGCGCATCCTACTTCTCTCCAGAGTAGTCAGTTTCGAGTGAAAGCGATTCAGCCTCGGCAACAACAGTCGCGGTCCGTATGGTCCAGGTATCAGCGACTCCATTCTTTCAAACGAGTTTGTTAACAATTACGGGCCAAGGATCGAAGGAAGGCGTTGTTGAAGTGAAGTGCCCATCTAAGATTCGACTCTTGGGCCGAGGACTGTATTAGTATGCGCTCACCACTGCAGTACCCCCGCTCTCTAGAGGTAATCATAATCGCAAAATATCGAATTAATACGGTGTGGTATTGCTTTTGTTTGAACATGTTAATTACGTCCTAGTAAGGTTATCTGATCCACAAATCATGGACAAACTTTACGAAAGCGATTTCCAGATCAAAGAGATAAAGGAAAGCTGGTGTTCAAGGGACTGGACGACGACAAGCCTAAATCAAGAGCTGACTGAATAAAGAGGTGTGCAAACGAGGCTCCTACCAACAAATAAATGAGTCAGAACGCTGCTGCTGGTGGTGCTGAAGAGAGTGACCAGCTGAGAGGAGGAAGAGGAAAACAAACCGAACACAACGACCCGACTCCCAACGCGCAGCGGTCCAGTCCGAAAATGGCGGACCGACCTCGTCTAACCGGACAGATTGCAAAGCAGCTGGACTGGCGGCGCCGTTTACGGTGAGAATGCGCAAGTGTCAGTAAAAAAAACCATCTGTAGAGATAGTTGAATTCTATCATTCTATCCCTTTCTCTATTGCCCCCCTCCCCCACTGAATGCCAAGGTGCAATCAAAGTAGGAGTAGAACGTCGGTAACACTCAAACTGGTTCATTGACATGGAGACAGATACTACTTTATTCGATACGATTTCTATGGACAGGTTCCGCTTCAGAACCAGATTATTTGTCATCACTTAATGAATGGCGAAGCAAAGCTGCACGCTCTATTAGAAGCAGCATAACTGTATAAGGAAGTTAGATTACAAATAGGTGCAAAGTAGTAATCAGAGTGCATGCGTAATCTTAAGATCTGCACATAAATGTTCTAAAGTTACCACCCAATGAAACGTGAAAAAAAAACCAGCAAGAACACCTAGTGATGATTGACTTTTCTAGTGGACGCCACGCACTCGTTCATTGAAAAATAAATGAAGAGTAGGGGGAGGGGGTGGATCTTCGACAACAGAACCTCCGGATCCGGAAAAACTACCTTGAATGCGCCTGATCCACACATTCAACCTGGCGAGTTGCCAATTCGGCGCGAAGCTCATCTGCTCAGTACAATCACGGTAGGTCCTCTTCTATGGAAAATATTCGCAAAAACGACCGCAATCTTTGTATTTGGCGAACATTTGAGCCATCTCCACTACCTCTCTCCTTCTTTTTTTGAGCGTGACAGGTAGCTTTCTTTGGGAAGTTTTCTCAATTCTTAGTTGAACGCTGAGCATGACTTGCTTAACAAAAGGGTGTGCCCTCTCAGCATGGTGGTAGCAATCGCGTTAAAAAACGCAGCATCGGGACAAAGTCATTTTTTCTCCTTTTCAGCTGAAATTTACCCATGAGGATTACTCACTGGCTTGATCACGAATATGACATTCGCTTTCAAGGCCAGCGCCGCTTGTTTTCAAGTGCCAGTTTGGCTCTCTACCGCTTTTGTTCATCGGAAACAACGTGAGATTGGGGCTACTATTTTCTTTTCATTTACTGCTGATTACGGCATTTATCTCTGACACCAATGCAGTATCAGCGGATTGGAGGTAAAACGCCGGGGTTGTGATTAGACAGCTGAAAAGAACATCTATCAAAATCGCTAGCAACAACCCAAAAGCAGCGTGGAAGTCATACACCATGTGGGCTTATCTCCAGCAATGTGCTAAGTGCACATCTCGTAATTGCGGATGTGGCAATTAAAATGAGCCTGCAAGTGCTAATTGACTCGAAAGACGTTGGAAGTGCCCTAGCTGAAGCCCTCCTGATAACAGTTTGGTTCAATGAGAGGGCGGGTACAAGGCGCAAGTGAGAGACGCTGGCTGGAGGCTGGAGAAGAAAGATGAGAGAACAGGAAGATTTGCGAGACAGCAGGCATCAATGCCTGCTAAAGACACATGGTACGCACAAACACATTAGGGTGTATGAGACTATCAGCCCCCAGCTGTCGATGTGTCGTGGTCCCCCGCCCAAGTGGGTCAGAGTACGGGGCCGTGGGAAAGTCGTAATTCCTTGCTACACCGCCCATTTCGCAAACTCACGTTTATGCTAACACCGTCCGCGCGGCGCGGTCGCGTGCAGCTCTCTTGGCTTTTTGCCAAGTCCTGTAATTGCGCTTTGGAATACAAGTAAAACGCAATTTCTTTATGCGGATAACATTTTAGGTGCTGCAAAATAAGAACCGAAGATGATGACGAGGGCTAGAACTCAAGAGCAACTGTGCTGCTTCTGCAATATCCCTCGGAGGCCGCGCATTTCCACGAAACATGAAAATAAAAACGGCCTAAGCGTCCCACTCGTTAGTTTAAAGTATTTCTATGGCTTTGGAGCCGGATTCGAGCCGGATCGCAGAAATGCACACGCGTTCAATTAAGGCTGCGTTTATACTTTGCGGCAGTGTAGCGTAGCGCTTCCAGCGTACGCCAGCGGCCGAAGAGAGGATGCATATCGATTTAGCTTCACCAGCGACA